ATTTTTAGTAAACGCCTATGATGCTTGAAATAATAAAAACAATATGAAATTACTTCAGAAGTCGGTGCATTCTTCTAAATTACATATGTTAGACAATCCCATAAATAGAAATTGAAATTAATTAAAAAGTTTATGCATTGTTTTTGAGAGCAAATATTAGACTAGTGCTCCTCAACCTGTTTATCGCGGGAGACCGGCCACTGTTTAATAATATTACCACTGCCCACTGACGGAGGAAGAACGTTGAGTGTTTATATTTTATCTAGTTTAGATTTAATAATTTTAATTTAATAGTTTTTAAACATGCTTTCAAAGTAATATACAACGACATGCGAGCTATTAGCGCTGATTTTTGGGGACGTCGCTGAGTTCTCGATTAACCTCTCACAAATCCGGAGAAAAATACATTACAGTAATAAAAATAATAAATAATACTAAAAAAACAATGCAAGGAAAATATTGACAGCAGTAAATGATAACAATGAACTTAGTGCTTCTTATTAAATCATGAAATTATATTTTAATTATGCAAGTACAATGCTTTAAAGCATATTAAAGAATATCCACACAAAAAAGACAGTTGACTAGATCGCGTAAAGATCATTACGCCTTTACCACGATTTGATTCATTTTAGTATGCAGAAACTTTTTTCTTCTGTCTTCTTATTTTCAACAATATTTTTTTTAATTCTAGCAAAAAGTTTATTTTAGTTGTTATTTTTCATTGATCTTTATGTTAACTATCAAGAAAAGAAAAAAAACGAATACTTTTTATTAAATTTACCATTAGAACGCCCAACGTAATGATAGAACATATCTTTTTTTTAAAAAAAAAAACTGCATGTGGATTTTATACCATTGTTATCTTAAATGCTCACTAATATTCAATTTTTCCTAAAAAATTTTATTTACGTGATCAATTAAGCTGATCAGACTTTTATCCGTACCCGTCAATAAAAGGTTAAAATAAAAAGAATAAAAAAAGGTAAGAGGTATTTTACGAGAAAATTGCAGGAAATACATGATGATCTTAGTATTTGTGTAATAAATATATAAGAATACTGAAACATTATATGACCATCATGTTTTTCTTCTTTTAAAGAAACGTTTCTCATTTTCCCAATATTAAACAATAAAACTACTAATAGTATTTTTAAAAAATAGAACTTTAATTAAATTGAATTGAATATAATTTTATTTTAACTGCACACGTAACTTTTGAAAAACGCAAGCTATCTATTTTAAGTGCTGGCAGTGACCTACAGAAGTGTTTAAACCTGTCAAAGGGACATCAGGAAGTGGACACAAAGAAACCATTTACATTGATGTTCTAAATTCTTAATATGAAGTCAGCGATTCAAAAGTTTTTTTATTTCTCAAAATTTAGGTTATACAAGCGAAAAGTTTAACTAATATAGAGAGATAAGGTTTCTTTCGTATATCTAAATTAAATACATAAAGTCTTCTGTCAACATGTCAAACTTAAAAAGTTGGTTCTCATTTAATAATATTCGGATTCTAAAATTACTTGTTCATTTCAAACAATAAAACTCCATAAGTTACCATTGCACCTGTAATGCTAATAAACAAACTCTTATCGATGATAAACAAATTTCCTCCTGTAACCTCCAAGTTCAATTCCTTTAAATTCGTGATTAAAGCAGAAAACACTTGAAAGTTATTGTCATCAGTCGCAAATTTCCACGAATACTCCAAGGCGATGGTCTTTAACATCTTACCATTGTTACGTACTCTAGAACCACTTAGAGTCAAACGGATAAAGAAAACTGAGGCAGCAACGGCAATACAAACAAACATAACTTTCAACATAAGTATACTGAATTTTTCTTCTGAAATCATCAAACTTGTGAAGGAATAAAGTCCGATAATAAAACTACAGTACGTCATCAGTGCAATCGAATTCAAAGCGTCATCTGCTGATTTGACTAAATATGATAACTGATTTGTGGAATACATAATATTCCCAATACATTTTGGCTTTACATTTGGAGCATTAAGTTTGATTTTCAACTGTTTTCCAAACTTTTCAACAATATCTCCCAACACTGTATAGTTTAAATCAATAAGAAATATTGCAAAACCTGAGGTTGTTAGACAAACGCAGCTATTTATTGTACCAAATGCAAGCACGAAAGCAATTTTTAAATCTATAGCTGGAATATCACCCCATAATGCAGTAATAAGAAATTTGATGTTTTTCCAGTCAAAGTAAAACATAATAATTGCAAAAATTATTGAAAACGCAATAGAAATAAAGTTCAAAATAATGAGGATTCTTTGTATTTGATTGTAGCCTATATTATGGCACTTATGCATAAACGTTAGATGGTGAATATTTTTAAAAAGTTTCCACAGTTTTCGTCGATTTATAATAATAATAATTCTTATGACGTAACATGAAACAAAGCAAAGACATGCAGTTAGTCGTACATGAAAAGAATTCATAAATATGTCAAAAATGTACAAACCTATGACAAGAGATATAAGCACAAATAAATTACAAACGAAAGACCAAGTCATTTGTAAATTTCTCATGTTCTTTTTATTTCCATAACATTTTAATGGAATGCCTAGAATGTTTGAAACAGCAAAAATAATTTGGAATGACTTTAGAAAATTATTCATTACTTTTAATTACCTATATTGGGCAATCACAACAAAAGGAACCAAAATAACTCTTGAATTTGGTGCACTGTTTTCGAGTGTGTGTAATGGATAACTAAAGCAAAGTGTGCCGATATTAGTGCACTGTTTTAAAGTGCGTATATTAGGCAATCAAAGGAAAAGAAATCAAAATGACTTCTGAATTTTGACCCACTGTTTTGTATAAAAAATACCTGACACTCGGGAAAAAAATGAAAGGAGGACTGCGTAATTGGGACTTAGTTTTAACTAAACAATCAATTCAAAAGAATTTAAAATTAATTCAGCTCATGCATTGATCTTGGTTGAAAATATTGAACAGCAAAAGAAATTGAATGATTGAAATTGAAATGATTGTTGAAGTGACTGAATTGAAATGAACAGCAAAAGAAATTGATTGAATTGAATGAAAGAATTGAGTTGGCGCAATCTTTATAATTGCGTATACTGGAAAGGCAGAGCAAAAGAAATATATATATATTGCAGTAAATGATTGCAATCGTTTTAGTGTTTCTTCTTTTTTTTCTTTTAGGGTTTCTTTTAAATCATGAAATTATAGTTAATTTATGCGAGTCTAATGTTTTAAAACATACTTATGAATTCTAATTGGAAATATGAATATCCCAGAAAAACCAGTGAACTAAGCAAATGTGTGTTGGTGAGCACAGCAAACAAAAATTTGAAAATACTTTAGAAGTTGGAGCACTATTTTCGATAATGAATATCAGTCTGCTACTATGAAATAAATGAGAACTTCGGAAGTTGATGTATTTCGACTACGTATATAGGACAATCACGTCAAATGAAATTGAAATAACTTTCAAAGTTGGTGCACTGTTTTCGATAACGTATACTGAAAAAAACAAAGGAAAAGAAATAATCACAGCAGTGAAATATAAAAACCGATTAAATGGTTCTTTTTAAATCATAAAATTATATTTCAATCGTGCGAGTTCAATATTTTGAATTATATTTATGTGTTCGAACAAAACATATGAATATCCAATTAAAATCAGTTAATTAAGTCACGCGATGAGTATTACTCAGTTACCATAAATTGATTGACTTTAGTGCACATAAGCTTTTTTTTTTTTAACAATATTTTTCTTTTAGCATATCAAATTTATTTTTAATTTCGTTATTTTTCATTGATTTTGATATTAAAGATAAATAATTGTAAAAACAAAACATTTTATGTTATATTTATTAAAAATTGCGCTCGAAAAAAAATATTTCTTTCTATTGTAATTTCAGGTGCTCATAAAAATTAAAATTTTTCATTAAAATGTGAATTAGCATAATTAGTTCTCATAATTAATCATGCTGATCAGATTTTTAGCTATGTTCATCACTGAGAAGCTAGTATTCAAAAAAGAGGGAGAGTTTACGAAAAGAAAAAGTACAGGGATCAAAAAATTTAAATATTTATGTAATAATTAATAATATTTTACTATGATATGTCAAACACATTTTACTATTTTCTTTTTTCAGAGAATATATAAACAACAAATAATAAATTTAAGAAAGTATTTAATAATAAAATTTTAAGGAGATTAAATAAAATAAAATAATTTTATTTTTTTCTCACTTAAAGGAAAACTTAACAGACTCATTCTATGAGAAATGGTATAATGTTTATTGATGTCATGTCCAAGATTCTTACGAAATTATTTTGTGAGAAAGTTAGTTAGTTAGTTAGTTTAAATTTGTTGCGCAAGAGCCAATTTGTGAGAAATTACATGTCAGAAAAGGACTAAAATAATATTTTTAAAATTTTTTTGTGCCAAAACTATGATTAGGGGGTTAATTTGAAATTTGACCAGACTTTAAGAAAATGGCTAGATAAGGTAACTGATATTCTTAACTTCTATAAAGGAAAAAGAAAAAAATAACACTAAAATCGAAACTGAAACGAAAATAAGACATTTAAGTGGCCAGAAATATCATAGAACAGGGCAGAAATAAATGGTAGGCAATTTTTTTTAAAACCAAAACTAAATTAGGTTTTGCCATCGAAAGTCAGAAATGTTGGAAATCAAAACAAAAACAAAAACAGGAGGAAACAACTCAACAGCAGGAGACGAACATCTCAACTCCACTCGACCACTTGCGTTGTAGAATCGGCTTTTTCAAATTACTCGTATTCCCTCGACCTAACGTATTCTCCGTATTCCGACTGAAATTATTCTTGATTTATGAAATAACTTTTAATGTTAAGACGCTGTTTCAAGGTAGCATTTTATGCGAGATAATTATTTGATTTACAAATAAAAAGTGTGTTTTTTTAACTTTCGAAAGTATTATTCGTTATTTAAAAAGCATATTTTTTGAAATAGGAACAGGAGCGTTGTTCGGCATGGCATGGAAAGAGCAAAGGAGATTTTCTTTGCACATGCTACGCGATCTAGGTATTGGTAAAACTAAAGTGGAACATCACTTGAAAGTAAGCAGCTACAAATTAACTATTTTCATTAACTTTGATCTTATTAAACTGTTGTAGTTAAACTATACTAAATTTTTATAATGGTATCCTTTCTAACTACTTTAATCCGTTTCAGTATAAAACTGTTGTTGTAGTTGTAATTTATTTACGTCTCACTAGAGCTGCTCAATGGGCTATTGGCGACAGTCTGGGAAGCATCCTGTAGGATGATCCGAAGACATGCCATCTCAATTTTGATCCTCTGATGAAGGGCTGACATCCCCGCTTCGGTTGCACAATGACGTGTGAGTGAATTCGAGCACTTTAACAGTTTAACGACGACCAATACCGCACCCCCTACGCAGACTGATCCAAGTGGTCACCCACCCGCATACTCACCGCAGCCAAAGATACCTGACTTCGATGATCTGCTGGGAACCGTGTCTTAACTATCAGTCCACTGGGGGACCAGTACAAAACTGTATTCTCAAGTAGGGGATGCATGGGAAAACTTGCCGCAAAATGTCTATTTCCTTATTTATAACTATTTACCATACACCCAGTCGTGAAACACAGATTTCGGGGCAATTTTTAAGCATTTTAGAATGACAAATTATACAGCAATGAACTAAAATTTTATCCAAGAAACTGATTGTGTTCTTCTAATGCAAGGAATGAAACTAAATATGCTCTGTGATGAGCTAATGCCCTAAAATTCATATCCCTTAAGATAAAAATAGGATTCAGAAAATTATTAAAATTTTGGACAAAAAAATTTTTTTAAACTCTTCCTGTAATCCTCTAATGTAAAGTACGGCATTCTGTTTTCAAAAAAAAATGACAAATTAAATTTATTAATAACTTTCTAAATCTATAATCATAATCATTTATGTATGTTGTTAAAATTCATGTTAAAAATGAGGTATACATTAAGGGTCACAAAATATTATCAAAGCGAGGAAAAACAAAAACTTTATCATCACCTGACTCATCATTGACGAAGAATGTGAAACTGAAAGTATTAAAACTTATTTCATTTAAAGAGGAAATTTAAAAAATTTTGTAATTCTTTTTTCGAAGCAACTTAGATTTTCATCTGAGAATCAAAATGATTTTAATATTTTGAATATCACCTCTCTCAATAGGTCAAAAATTTTGAGAACGTTCTTTATTATTAGCTAAATATTCATTTTCGATCGCTAACGAGCATACTTTTTAAGACAACTCTAAACTAGAGATTAAGGAAACATAAAATATAATAAGTACTTACTATTTTATATTTTATGTTATACTGTTATGAACACTCTGCGTTATGCCGGAATTTCAAAGAAAGGTGTAAAACCTGATTTTGATATATGAAATACAGCATCTATTGATGCGTACAGGCAAAGGCAAACTTGTCTGCATTGTTTCCTTAAATCATAAAAATAATACTAATAATTTCAATTAAAGTTATTCTTTACACTGCAAAAAATTTTAGTAGAACTCAACAACAAAAATGGAAGCAGCTACTTTACACCAAAGTGAATCGCCATACGAAACTCTTGAATCTAGTGTTTCACTACACCATCGTTCCTTAACACTGCTTGATGTGATGTAGACGCCACCTTATTCATCAAATATTCATCGCAAGAATCATTAATTTATAACAGTAGCCCCTGAATCTCACAGTAAATCTGATTGAGACTGGGTCATTCCATTTATTTCAAAGATGGGGAAAGTAGAATTTACTGCGCATCACTTCGGCGCAGGAACTATACAGCAAATCCGATTCCAATATCTTCTTTGAAGACACATAAGCTCCGATTCTTCCTGCAAGTAGATTTTTAAAATTAAAACGATGGCGCCATTTATCAATTTCGGATTTAAATATACATTTCTAATAAGTTTTAAATTAATCTGATGTTTTTAAAGACAATATTTTTTACACTCTGATTACATTTTTTTAAATCGTAACTAATTTTATATAGTGTCTGAAATATTTTTTTTATATCTCTTCATGTATTTTTATGAAGTTGAGGTAAGAAAATCTAAGTAAAATCTAGAAAGATTAATCATAGTATAGAATTGACCTGCCCGGTATACCCTACACTGATGTTTTTTAAGGTCCACTGCCAATGTCCGGTGTACATTTGCCCGGTATACCCTACACTGATATTTTTTTAAAGGTCAAGGGCCACTGCCCGGTATACATTCGCCCGATACTCCAAACACTGATGTTTCTTCTAATCTATCGTCAGTAAGTATTAAAATATCGAATAAATGTAATTATATCCACGAATAAATTAATATCAAATCGGATGTAATAAATATTTCGGACATTCACCAAAGCGACTATGTGATTGTCAACATTCACCGGTGAAAGTCAACAACCATCGATTTTGGTCATTCCCAATAACATGCACATCATTTACATAATAACCTCATCAGGACGTTTATTTCATACTTGCCTAAATAACATCCGGCATTATGTATAATGCCTAGGCAATGAGTGAAATATAAATCATTTCATACTTTGCCGGCTAGTTATAGGCATTATATCTAATGCCGGATATCATACTTTGTAGGTAACAGATATAAAAAATGATTTAAAAAAAAAAACATAAGTATAACACTTTAAAAAAAATACTACGAAAAATACCACATCCCTAATTTTCAGTAAACAATACTTGCCATACATATTATTGAAAATACTACGTATGGCAACCCTGGTGAAAGTAAATTCCGACGCATACGCAGTGAATTCTACTTTCCCCACCTTTGAAATAAATGGAATGATCCAGTCTTAATCAGATTTACTGTGAAATTCAGAGGCTAGTATTTATAACGCATGTATACGAGCAAATCTTAAAATTAGGTTGTAAGTCAAACATACGCGGTGCTCAGAGAAAATTTTAGAACGAATTCGAACGAATTCTTAGCAAAACGAAAGCGGATAGAAATTATGCACTAAAAAATCTGTTATGAAAGATTTAAAAGGTGAAATGTAACTAACCCTATTACAACAAAAAACATGCAAATTCAATTTTAGATTTAATTTAAACCCTTTAAATCTTAAAACAAGGAATAAAGTGTTCCTTCATACAATTTTTTGGGTTGTTTAATATTATATTCGGAGAGATATAACATCACAATTAGTTCTGTGTACCTTATCATTCATTTAAAAGGTCCCGCAGTGAACTGATCATTAAGACACAGTTCCCAGCAGATCACCGAAGTCAAGCATCACTGACTGCGGTCAGTGTGCGGATGAGTAACCACTTGGATTAGTCTGCGTAGAGACCGAAGGTGTGCGGTATTGATCCTTGTTAAACTGTTCTACCGTAAAGTGCACGACTTCGCGTGTGGGTCGTCGGGCTACCGAAGCAGGGGTGCCATCCCCTCTGCAGGGAATCAAAATTGTGATGACATGTCTTCGGATCATCCTCAGGGATGTTTCCCAGACCGCTCTAGTGCGACGTAAATGAACTACAACAACATTCATTTAAAATTAAATTTATATTTCAGGAAGAAATTTTAGAATTATTTGAACGAATAGAAGGAGAAAAAGGCTCCCCTATATTAACTTCTGAATTTCTAACTCCAAGTATGTCCAACAACATCGCCTCATTTATCTTTGGAAGACGCCTAAAATACAATGATCCCAAAAGACAGGAGCTAGACAAATTGATAAATCAAATTGGGCGTGAAGGTGGAGCCATGATTTTAATATTTTTTCCGTGGCTAGCTGCATTTCTGGATTTTTTCAACCTTGGAGGTAAAAAGAAACTTTCCAAAGCATTACATGAGCTGAGGTTGTACATCAAGTAAGTTAACTTTATAAAAATAAAAAAACATCAGCCATTTGGAATTAATATACATCTTCGGAATCAACATGTCGTCAGCTAATTAAAAAAATCCGATTCTTTGCAATCGTAGCCATCATTTTGCAATGCATCAGACTAATTGGACCAGTATTTTCCTACCTCCTACTTGCCTGATAATTTTAGAACTAAAACAAACTACAAGGCTACAAGCTCAGTTATGTAATTATGAAATGAGTGCGAAATTACTCCAGTCTAACTTTCTTTTAAATATCCTTTTTCAAAAAAAAATTCGTTCAAAAAATCCTTTGCAAAAATCTGGCTATCAATTTATAGCAAAAAACACTTTACTGCTCTGGGTTTCATTGGAAACTGCCTGTTATAAATCAGGCTAATTGAACAAAATGATGAATTTTCTAATTTTTCTAAAGGTATATGAACTTAGTGAGATAAGCCTAAAAAGTATCAATCTGATTAGAACATACTAGAGAGACAATTAGCCAGGTGCACTGCAAAACTACGGCGGCTGTTTGCAAAGAACCGAATCCCTCAATTAGCCTATAACGGATATATCGCGAAATATTGCCATTTTTTAAATACTAGAACAATGCTCCTTATATACCTCGACTTAATCTATATCAATTTCTAAAAATAATAGTTCTTTAAAATAGTTTTTTGAGCTATAAATTTTTTCAAAAACAGTGACGGAATGTTGAAGTGGGAAACATGGTTAAAATTTTAACGTTATGTGGTACAATTTAGAAAATAATTTCAAAATTTTCGCCCGAAATATAAAACATAAATATTGTCTACGGTTTCAATGCTTAGAAATCATAATTTTTCTTTTTAATTGTATTCAAAAGTAAACTATAAAATTTGAAAGATTGCATTATTTATCAATTTATCTTAATAAAAAGAGCCGCTTTTTCTGCTAAAAATACTTTTCTTTTAATTTATTTTTTTTCCTTCAATTTATGAACATCTAAGTATGAAAAATGTTAACAAAATAAATCATAAATAAATTAAAATAGTGAAAAAGTTGGTTATGTTAAAAATAAAACATAAATCACAACTACTTAATGCTCCGAACTATCCCCTTACCCAAATAAAGTTAAAAATTAAATTTTATTTTGTTATTTATTATATCTGTAATTAAGTATTACTGAAAAACATTTCTGTGTTGGCTATAAATAAAGAGTTCTTTAGCACATTATTTCATTAGTTAAAGTATATTTTTAATGCACTCAGTAAATCATAATATTCTAAACTCTGTCATTAAATCAAAATATTTCTTACATTCAGGTTTACTTTTTTTTTAAATTATCTAAATAAGGCATATCTCAGTGATAAAGTACACAAGATAGGTTAGCTAGTTTAAGTGAATGAAAATGATTCACTAAACTGACCAAAATGGACCCCATACGTTATCATTTTTGAATTACCATGCTTGCAATTTGTAATTATACTGTAGTACAATACATTTGAACGTTTTCCTGCCATTTAAATAAAAATATATAATTCTGTACTTAAAAAATGCGATTACTTCACTTATCAGAACCTAAATGAATCATTATATACTACTTTTATAGGAGAAATATCGTAACACATCGAGTGATTTCTCGGAAATCTTGTTCCCTAAAGCAGCTAGAGCCTTGAAACTTTGGGAAGGTAGATAAGGCTTTTGTCCCCAAAGTGTCGCCAATATTACCTTAATGGTTGCTAAGTTGACGAAAGTCCCACTGTCAATGAAAGTGCTTTTTCCTTACCTGTAAATTGTTATTTTGAGCTGTTAAAATGAGTAAAGTTGAAAACTTAAAATATGGGTTTTTGTAAAAATGGTTCGTAGTAAAGAAAAAATAATTACAGAATCATTCTTTTCAGCCTAAAATATACTAAAAGCGTATAATTTTAAATAAAGGACATTTTTCCTTCTGTACTATAACGTTATCTTATGTCATAAAATTTTCATAAAAACTATTCATATCTTGTTTGACTGTTTTGCAGAGAAGAACTCAAGGAGCATGAATCAACTCTAGATCCTAATCACATCCGAGATTTTATGGACGCATATTTACTTGAAATTCAAAAAAGGGCAAATGATGCTAATTCTACATTTCATAGTAAGACTATAAAATAAATAGTTTATTTGTGCAAATACTATATCCTATATCCAAGTAGCACAGAGACAACGATCTATGTCGTGGCCGTTCCAAGCAGTGGCGTATCTAGGGTATGGCAAGTATGGCGAATGCCATGGGCGCATTATTTCAAAAAGGCGCAAAATCAATCAACATCAACGATTATTTTTTTAATTAAAAATTTTACTAATTTTTTTTTCAAGTTATGGCAGAATTAAAAAAAGCATCCAACATTTAACCTTTCCTCGAGGGCTCGAAAAGAAGACATCGAGGTCTTTCGAGGAACTCTTTTTATAACTGGGGGAGTGAAATATGAAAGGGAACCGCTAATAATAAAAACAAAGTAGGTGACGAGCGTTAAACAATTTTAACCTCCCACTGTTTTTCATTTTTTTAATAACTTCGTTTGAAAACTCATAGACCACCTTAGTTAGGGATAATAGGAGGGCCAAGGTTTCCAGCTCTTTTGCATAACTCGAAAAGCGCGAGAAATCTCCTTCGGTTGTTATATTATATTCAACATTAAAAAAAATGGGGGAAATAAGAAAAAAAAA